ATTGAGAAGATTTATGGAGAAACCACATGAAAGTCATCTTACTACAGTCAAAAGGGTGCTAAGATACATCAAGGGGACAATTGATCATGATGTCTTGATGCCAAGGAAGAAGAACAACAACAAGAATAAAAGTACATGGCTATACAAACTCAAATTTTAGTGGAGAAAAAGATGAAACAAAGAGAACTACAGGCTACATATTCATGATTGGAGAATCTCTAATCTGTTAGGTCTCAAGAAAACCAGAAATAATGGCCTTGTCATCTTGTGAAGATGAATATGTAGCAACTTCTTGTGCAACATGCCAAGCTTTGTGGATAGAAATGTTTCTAGATAAACTTAAGATCATGAAACCTAAGAAGTTGAAGTTGTTTGTAGATAACAAGACAGCTTTAGATTTAGCTAATCATCCTATGTGTCATGGAAGGAGCAGGCATATAGAGATGTGGTATCATTTTCTTAGAGACTGAGTAAATAAAGAGAAGATTGAGCTTAAGTATTGCAAATCAGAATTGCAATTTGTTATACGATAGACTACGGTCTAGAGGGGGTGAATAGATTGAAAATGCAATTTTTTTATTTAAAAATTTTATTTTGAAAATTGTTTGACTATGGCTAGCAGAAACAATCATCCATTTTGAACTATTATCGAAAATATCGGATATGCGTTAAACCTTATAGAACATATTCGTTTGATGAGAAACTTTATCAATATATTTGCAACAACAATATTTGAATAAAACCACACAATAATAATCGATTTCCAATGAAATATCAAACAAAAAATGGTTTAAGTAATTTGTTGAATACTTGATGTGCAATCAATTCAAATCATAATTTTATTTGATTTTGTTGATATGAGAAACCAATTGCACTCTTATAGATTGCAATCAACTTAATAAAACAGTTTATAATTTTAGACAAAGAAATTATCTCAATGTATCAATTGTATAATCAATGGTTTCACAATTTATAAGTAAAAGTAAGAGAGAGAGAGAGAGAGAGAGAGAGAGAGAGAGAGAGAGAGAGAGAGAGAGAGAGAGAGAGAGAGAGAGAGAGAGAGTAAGAGAGAGAGAGAGAGAGAGAGAGAAGGATTTGTTTAGGTGGTTCCCTAACCGGCCTCGCTATATGTACGTCTGTCCCCAATTCCAATGGAATTACGATAATGAAAATTAACATTTGCAAATGTAGTTTACAAGAGAAAAATAGCAATTCAACCCTCCAAACTCTATGTTTGATGTTGACCCTAAATCCTTCTCTTAATCTTGAGCTCGATCAAGTAAACCAATACTTCCAATTTGATCCTCCGGTTACCGTTACTCCTTTGACAGAACCCCTGTTCTTCAAAGATTTCACTCGTTTGAATCCAAATTGCAAACATCTTATGACCCAATATTATCAAAATGATCCTCCGGTTACTATTAATCCTTCGACAAAAATGTCTTTCTTCGGAGCTTTCACTCGGCTGAATCCAATTTGCGCAATCTTGTGGAAAACTCCCAAATTAATCCTTGTTCTTGGAAGAAAACCCCAAATGAATTTATCTTGAAACCCCAAAGTAATCTCAACCCAATTTAATTACAACAATCCTAAATTAGACCTTATCAAAATATCTCAAGATCACATAACAAAAATGATTATGTGTGGTTGTTGTGTGTATACAATGAGATAGGATGAAGATGATGAAAATTCTGTGTATATTTTTGGTTTCAATCATTTAGAAATGATGCATGAGTGACTATATATATATGTATGAGTGAGTAAAAGAGAAAACAGAAAAAATCAAGTTTACAAAATTACACATTTAGACATTTTAAAACAGTTAGAGTTGGCCCATTCATGGAGGGAGTCGACCCATGTTGTCTGGGAGTCAACTCTAAGTGGACATAAAAGTTTTTTGAGAAATATGCTTCAATAGGAGTCGAGACATAGCACATGGGAGTCGACTGCTTCGTGCTTTCTATCGACTCCAAAATGCTTTGTAGTCGACCCATCCTGGACAGGGATTTAGATTCAAAAATATTTCAGTGGGAATCGACCCACGGCTCGAGGAGTCGACTCCTTTGTGTTGTGTGTTGACTCCAAAGGTTTGTGTATTGACCCATCCTAGACAGAAAATTTTGTTTGCAATACTGCTTCAGAGGGAGTCGTCTCGTAACATGGGTGAGTTAACTCCAAACATGGTTTCTCCACAAAAATTCATATTTTTGACATTTTTGACTTGTCTAAATGCTTTTAACTTGTTCCCTAAATGTCCTAAGATGAAAATTCAACTTAAACATAGTGATGTAAGATCCAATGTACAAATACTACATATTACCTAATTTTGACATCATACGAAATATCTAAGAGAGGATATTGCACTCACACAATTGGTAGGTTTACTTACAAAACTATTAAAGAAGACAAGGCTTCATGACATAAAGAAACTCATTGGAATGAGGAATTTAGAAAACATGAATTAGGTGGAGTGATTAAATGTATGTAATTCATAGTTTTAAGTGGTTACTTGTATCTCGAGAAATGTTGTTTTGCTTGATTTAATTCTTCTTCTTCTTCTTCTTTCTTAACTCTCAAGAAACAAAAAATTTGTTCCAACATAGTTAAGTGAAAGTTGGTAATAGTTGTTTGGAAGAAGGTTTGCAAAAATAAATATCATGGAGGTCTTGCCATTAGATTATTCAATTGCCTTAATGAAGCTTACAATTTGAAATTGGATATTGAACAGTTTGGAGCCTTAGGCCTTGCTTTTCAAATCTAGAATTCTTAGACCTTTCAGCACTATCAACCACCATATATACTCATCTTTATATAACAATCTCAAGTCTGAGTTTGGCCTTATGTTATCCAAAACCTCTTGGTTGTAGGGGGTGGAGCATCAATCAAAATTCGGAGGGATGCTTGGTGTGGTGAGCCTTTAATCCTAGCAATCTCTAGGTCTACTCTTGACTCCCTATATTGATGTTAACTCATATGCTGCAAATTTTATTCATAATAGCCAATGGTATTTTCCTCCAAATTGGATGAACATTTTTCTTTTCTTGATACATAAAGTCATGTGATTCCTCTAATTGACTCTCAAGTGTGTGACATGTTAATTGGAAGGATATAACTTATGGTTATTTATCAGTTAAGGATGCATACATATTCAAAGATCAGTCATCTAACCTATTGAATGGACGAAAATTATTTGGAATGTGGATATCCCTCCATCCAAATCCATGTTGGTTTGGAGGCATATGCACGGAAAGATACCTACTAATAATTTGCTTCAATCTAGGGTTTGTTCCTTGGCTTCTAATTGTAGTTTGTGTAAGTCTCACTTTGAAAACTCGGATCATCTCTTCTTCGAGTGTGTTTTGCTACCAGGTTGTGGGGGTGGCTTGGTTGTTCATATGAAGGAACTTGATGTTCACAAGCATGGAATATGTGTGGCATCTCTGGTCATTAAATTTGCTTGTATTTTTTTATCAATGTGATATAGGCGGCTAGAAACATGGCTCAATTCAATAACAAAAGTATTCTTTCCATGCCATTATCTCAAACATTTTGGCTCAAGTCAAGTTCTCTGATAATAACTCTGACTTAACAACTACTTCATCTATTCATGACTTCTCTCTTATTAAAGCATTCAACATTACTATTCATCATTCTTGTGCTCCTACAATTAAGGAGGTCTTTTGGAACCCGCCATTCTTAATTGGATCAAGTCTGCTGCTGGTTCGAGAGGTATTTTTAGGGATTACAAAGGTGGTTTTGTATTGGTCTTTGTTGAAAACCTTTATTGGAATTGCTCTTTTCAAGTTGATTTTTGTGCTCTTTTGCGAGCTATTGAGCTTACTAAGGACAAATAATGGTTGCGGTTATGGGTTGAAACAAACTCTCTAATGGTGGTGCAGGCGTTCTCCAAACACAATTTAGTGCCTTGGCATTTAAGAAATAAATGTGTTTCTTGTCTCAGGATCATTGCAAATATGCATTTCTACCTGTCTCACATATATAGAGAAGGGAATAGTTGTATGTTTTTTTTTGCTGATATAAGTCTCACAACTAATTCCCTCACATTTTCTATTCTTTACCTTTGACTATTAAGAATGATTTTGTAACGAATATACTTGATTTGCCTTTTTTTAGATTCTCTTCTCTTTGAGTGGATCTTGACGTAATCTCCACTTTTTTTGGTGCATCTTTTATCTTTCAATATATTGACATTTTATCCAAAAATTTGTCGGATTTATTTGGTTGTGTTTGGTTCTCTGATAAAAAAAGTTCATGATAAATAGATTTTGTAAAATTGATGCAAAATAATTTATGTTTGAATATATAAAAAAGAGTTGAATTATAAATTTAAGTGTAAAATTCATATTTACACTCGATCATGACTTATTAGAGATAAAATCAATTCTATTATAGGTCAATCAAAATTGTCAAAATCTATCTTACACCCTCAATTAATTTGATTGCTCAAAACTTGAAATCCAACATAGTCAATTGGGCATAAAATGATTTATATTTGAAGACTATAAAAGTGGAAATGCACATTAAAGATGATTGGATAATTTGACTAAAATTGCTTTTGGGTGCTTAAAATTATCAAAATGGATTTTTTTTAGCTCACCAAAATAGATGTTGTCATGTTCACCAGATTTCATTGAAGTAATGTTGGTGTAATGCTTTCTTAAAAAAAAATGTTGGTGCAATGGTGTCATACTGGTGCAAATTAGATGGACATGATAACATGCACAAACACAATTACCTGTATTAATAGTCTAAAAATCACAATTTCATCCCCATAAATTATTGAACAAGACCTCCACAAACATGAAACAGAAACAACCAAATCAAATGATTATTCTTTTTCAGTTTGTACAATAACCTAACATAAAAGTTAAAACAATACAAGACTGATAATTAACTTCATACATAATGTGTTTCCACCTATGCATGGTAATAATGTGTTTCCACTTTCACACATAAACAAAGCATTACATAGTGAAAAATCAAAAGGATGCTGATGAGAATCCAGTGCCCCATCTAACAGCAATTGCGCTCCTCACAATATGAACTCCATCACTCCATTCCAGTGACCCAAAACTCTGAGAACCACCATATCCAATTCTAGTGAATGTGACCTCAAAAGCTTGAGTTTTGTTTTCACTACTGAAAACAAGTTTGCTAGGTGAAACACTAACATCAACGCCGAAAGGAGCATTCACTTTGACAGTGTAAACAGCATCAACAGAACCACCAACATTAGTAACAACTCTTTTATACTTAACCAATCCGTTGTTTGCACTGAACACAACAGAGAACGAAGGGTAATTCAAATCGCCGGGACTAGAAAATTTCCTTTTGTTTTCACAAACATTATAACTAGTTGGTTCTCTAGTGAAAACCTGAATTTTCCTAGCATCATAACCAATTGAACAAAGGAATGCTAAATAATCATTACTGCTTATATCGTAAACCAACCCGGGATTAAGTGCTTTGTTAGGATCAACATGTCCAGCTCCATGAACAAATGGATTAGACTCTTTACCTGTTCCAAGATCCTTAATTGCTTTGCCGGAGTTATCAACATTATAAGCAGTTGTCATCAAAGCTGACTTAATCGCAGCTGGTGACCAACTTGGATAAGCTTTCCTAAGCAATGCAGCAATTCCACTCACATGAGGACACGCCATAGAAGTACCTGAAATTATGTTAAACTCGACTCGTCTAGGATCCAAATCCAAATCAGTAGGACCAACTTTACCAGTCCACCCTGCTAAAATGTTAACACCAGGAGCTATAACATCTGGTTTAAGAATCTCTGAAGTTCTATAATTCGGACCCCTGCTAGAAAACGAAGCAACTCTAGGAGCAGAAGGCGAATCCGAACCACCGATCACAGTACCTTTAAACTCGATCGTAGCAGTCGGATTCTCACTCGATCTTATATACTCTTTAATCTTATCACCAGCAATCTGACCAACCATAGTAGCTGCAACAAGATGAGCATCAGCAAGAAGCTCTTCGCCGCTATCTTCAGTATTAGCCATAATCATCCCTAACCCACCAGCACTTTTCACAGCACTACCCTTCTCAACTCTAGCATTCCCTCCTCTATCACAAACAACAATCTTCCCTTTCACTTTCGAAGAATCTAAAAATCCTATGTAACAATATCTACTACCACAATCACTAGCATAAACCAAAGGAAGCTTATAATCAGGCAAGTCATGACCATAATACAAAGAAACACCGCCGAAAATTCTACCATCGCCAAGAACAACATCAGCAGGAAACTCTCTATCAATCGTGGAAGCACCAACAGTTAAAATCCAAGGAGCTATATTAACAGAAGTATAAGGACCAGGACCTGAATTACCTGCAGAACAAGAAACAACAACACCGTGCTGCGCAGCACCAAAAGCACCAATCGCAATCGAATCAAGATAATAATGAGGCGCATAACCATTAGAACCAACAGAGAGTGAAATCACATGAACCCCATCTGCAACAGCTTCATCCATAGCAGCAAGAATATCAGAATCAAAACAACCAAGCTCCCAACAGATTTTGTAAGCAGCGATTCTAGCTTTTGTTGCCATTCCCTTAGCTTCACCTCTAGCAAAATGAAACAAGCTCGCGTTTGCAACGATTGAGCCTGCTGCGGTTGAAGCTGTGTGAGTTCCATGGCCTTGTGTGTCTAGAGGAGATTTCGATTCGGCTGCTTCATCGATGGGTCTTTGAAGGTAAGCTTCGTAGCCTTTGTAAAAAGATTTAGCGCCGATGATTTTGTTGTTGCATGAAGATTTAGGGAAATCTTTGGTGGTTTCGCAGGTGCCTTTCCAGGAGGAAGGGAGAGTGGAGAGAGAGAGGGACTGGTCGGAGAAGCTTTGGAGCTCCGGCCAGATTCCGGTGTCGAGGACGCCGACGATGACGTCGGAGGCGAAGTGGGAGTTTGGCCATATTCCGGAGGATTCGATGAGTCCGAGGAAGTCGGGGGTGTGTGTTGTGTGGAGGTGTCGGATTTGGTCGGGTTGGATGGAGAGGATGTCGGGGTGGGATTTAAGGTGGTCGGCTTGGGAGGGGGTTAGGTGGGCGGAGAAGCCGTGAATGGCGGATGTGTAGGTGTAGAGGATGGGAGGTGGGTTGGGGGAAGAAGGGAGGGTGTTGAGGATGGAGGAGAAATGGTTTTGATTGGTGGAGAAGAGGGAGGAGCGTGGAGATTTTGACACGTGGATGATGTAGGTTTGTGGAGAGTTTGATGAGTGGGAGAGAGAGAAAATGAGAGAGAGAGTGAAGAATGCCAGAGAGTGTGGAGAAGGAGAAGCCATGACGAAGAATAGTTTTTGTGTGTTTGGGAATGGTTTTTATGTTAGATGATTGGACATGAATTTTTGAATGGTGAAGAGGAAAATGAATTTAACCTGTAAATGAGGGAAAGGGGAAGACTGTAGACTGTGTTGTGTGTGGTTAGATATATTTTTTTGGGTATAGTTATTTTTAGATTTTTTAACTAATGATATGTCAAAAAACATTTTTATTTTAAATAAAAAGTACTATAATAAATCACAGTGCAGATGTTGTTTGTTGGTTATTAAAAAATTGAATTAGGTGGGCCATGAAAAGTAGACAGCCAATAATTGAAGGACGTATGGATGTTGTGGATTAACGATCTCCACAGCAGATACGAAACCAATAGTATAATTTTACGAGATGAAGATAAAATGGAGATAATATATAAAACAAAAGGTTGAATAATGTGAGACAACGAGGGAGATAAACACGAAATTACGTTAACTTTTCTGGCTTAAAGTTTCTGAATCTGGATATGGATTCTATATGGTTTTTGTAATTCTAAGGCCACGAGGTACCCACGTATCGACAAGAAAAGGATTAAAAATACTAATGTATACATCGTGATAAGTTTTTTGTATTTGTTTTATCGCCTGTCATTACAATAATCCACTACTAGCCAAAGGTGGCCAATGTGTTGGGACTTTATGACTATTTATATTACTATTCAAGTTTGAAACTCAGTTATTTTTAATTTTTTTTATAGGAGAAAATGCATAAACAAATGCAAATGACAAATGAGGAAATTTTATCCAATTCAAAAAATTCGAAAAAATATAAAAAAGTGTTAATTCAATTAATGTCTCCTCTTTAATTTGAAAGTGAGTTATATTGAGAATAAATATAAAAAATAGGTTAGTTTGGGATTAAAATTGAAAATTTAAGTTATTTGGATAAAATTTTTGAGAAAGGGAAGCACTTCATTTATAAAAGAAATTCAAATTTCAACTAAGATGAAATTGACTATTTCAAAATGTGATATGGAATTTTTGTAATTATATTTTACAGTAAGATAAGTTCAATGATATGTTCAATGTTAAAAAAGGAAAAGATAGAGGGGTTTTTGATAAAATTTATTTGAAATATGACAACTCTATATTAGTAATATAATTAACACACACTAGAATATATAGATAAGAGTTGAATTCCGAGAAATGGTTCATAATTTCCCATCAAACAGTTTTACCTCAAGTATTATATTGAGGAGAATTTCGTCCCTTTTTGAAATGTTATATGTTTTGTTACACTTTAGAAAAACAGATACATATGACTTAGATCTTGGAAGAGAGGGGGCCACCAAAACCTGCTTTATAACATTTTATCAGCAAATCTTTCTCCATTATGGTGTCCTCAATATGCAGAATTATAACAATGTCAAATAACACATCTTGCTTCGCTATATACAACACACCTGTAAAATAAAACCATCATGACTTCTTTTAAATAAGTATAGATCATCCCAAAGGTAAAAATTCGCATCCTTATAAAATCGTTGTCAATTGTACTCTTCTGGAATAATTTGCGTAGCCTTATAGCTTTTCATATCTACAAACCACAGTCTTTAACTTATTGCCTTTAATTGTTCATCAGAGAATTCTTCCTAAATGCTTGTTTTCTTCTTAGTTACCTCTATGTTTTTCAACTTGGATAGATAATCTATTACGATATTTTCTACTCCCTTTTTATCTTTAATATCTAAATTGAACTCTTGTAGTAAGAGCATCCATCTTAAAAATATGAGTTTAGAGTCACTCTTGTTGAATAGATACTTTAAAGTTGCATGATTTGTATAAATAACAACTTTTGAACCTATTAAATAAGGGTGGAAATTTTCCCAGGCAAAAACTACAGCTAGCAATTCTTTTTCATTAGTCATTGTTGGCTCCTGAATTCGACACTTACTATATTTGGTCTTTTAGACCAAAAAAACTGGAATAAATCAAGCCAAGCTGAAGAATGTTTCAACGTGTGAAATGACTTAGAAAAAGATCTAAGTTATATTTGAGTCTTCGACCAGGGCTCACTTTCAAGATTTCAACTAAGAAGGTCTTATGACCTTCGACTAAGAGAGAATATCCTCGCGTCGACACAAAAGGCGAGGGACATTTGAATTTGAATTATTGGAGGGAAAGACAGTTTCACCAGTGGCTAAAGAGAAGTAACATGGCTGGAAGCTAGAGGTCGAGGGACATGCAGAGGACACTTGTCCTCATCTTAGCGCAGAGCCACCCCTCGACAGTTACATAGTTTTTAGTATAAATTAGGAAATCTGTGTAGTTTTTCGGGGGGTTCAACCTATTGTGCTAGTTACTCAAATATTGTCCAAGTACCCGCTGTTTGAGAACAGATAAACTGAGAAATGTACGTTAGAAACACCCCTTTTCATTAATAAAAAGTCTTTTACACTGCTTTAATCTTATTCTACAAAGTTACTTTTCTTGCGTCTTTACCTGCATTTCTACATTTCTATTTACTTTCTTATTTTCCAAAACCTCAAGTATCTTGTCTCTGGTCGAACGTGCGTTCTTCCTAGATTTCTTTTCTTACTTACATCAACCCAGTATAAAAATTAGCATATGTTCTGGGATCAATCTGATCAATTCCGCGAGTAACCAAAAGGACTTTCCTTTTTGGAGGATCAGCGGTTATTTACCAAAAACAACGGTAAACAAATTGGCACACCTGGTGGGACATTGCTAATTTTTATTAAATATCTTGTTTATGTTATTGCGTTTCTTCTGTATAGTTATAACGTTGCATGTTATTAAGAAGTGGTAGAGTAACCAACGAGTGTACTGTTAGGAAGAAAAATAGCGAGAGTAGTATGGCTAACGAGCCAAATCATGGAGAAATACCTCCACCAATTACTGGAACAGTGGTTACTACCGCCGTCGAAGGGAATATTCCAACTTCTGTTGGATCAATACCGATGCTAACCATAAATCAAACAGGACCTTTACTTTCGTATGTAGGTCTGTTTACCGTGAAAATGGTAAACAACCGATGATCTTCCAAAAGGTAACTTATTTGGTGACTCGCAGGATCGATCAGATTGATCCTAAGACATGGCTGATTTTTATCGTTTAAATGCTTTAAAATAGAGAGTTTCGACTAATCCTAATGGTGATTAACGCAAGTAAGGTAGAGACACTTTAAGTAAATTGCACGGAGAAAAGCTTGATAAAGTAAATAAAAGCACTAAAGGCTTGTTAAATAAATGACTTTGACTGAGATAAATAAGTGAAAGCGATAAATTGCTTGAATGTAAAAGATTTCGATTAAGGTAAATGGTGTTTCACACATACATTCTCAATGATTCTTTCTCTCACGCTGGGTACTTGAATCTAAATGAGTGACTTGTATACAATGATGAACACCTTTAATAACTACGTGAACACTTAGTATTTATACTAAAAATCCTAAGTAACTGCTGGGCAATTACATCGCTTCGTGGTGACACCACATGGCACGTTCACAACCCTCGACGCCTACTTCCACGCCACGTTGCGCTTGGTAACTGCTGGGAACCGTTTTCCCTCCAACAATTTGAAATTCAAACCGTTCGATCTTGGGCATCAGGGACCTTGGTCGAAAGGTTGCTCCTTCGACGTTGAAAACAACATGATTCCAACTTAGAGAAATTTCTCTAAGTATCTTGTCATTCTTTGATAAGCCTTCGATGTGATCAGCTGATCGAAGCCTTCTTGTGTAGGAAACTCTTCTAACTCATAATTAATGATCTATATGATAATAGAACGTGGGTGTCGAATTTAGGAGCCAACAAATTGCCCCCCAAGAATGTCTTATTTCGACGCTTAGAAGAAAGAGGCATTCTTTGATATTCCATTCGACACATGTCCTTCACTCTCAGCCACAAATTAGTTTGTGCGCTTTTCGTCTCCTACCAACCATCTGACAATCTCAAAAAATCATCATTTCAACTTTTCTCAAGATGTCACTTCAGTAAGGCACTTCGCACGCACGATGGCCTTTCATACGCTGTCATCATGACCATGTACTCGAATATTCTGTAATTTTTGTAGCCATTTTGGCTTATCAATGTTATTTTCCATTTTGGCTTTATTGTTAACTTAATCATTAATTGTTATTTATTTTGATCTCTTGGAGCATAGGTTTATATTTTTTCAAATATTTGCCGTTGTGATCGGTGGAAATAGAACTGATTGTTTTGGAATGCTGGTTCACGAAATGTCGCGGTAAGCAAGAGTCGCCACCGTCTTTTATGTTCTCCAACATGGAAAGGACAAAAGCACAACAAAATTACTTCTTTGAGATGTATCTCGGTTCGGGAGGTAGATTTATAGAAAGGGAAGGTTTTAGCACCCTTTCTATTCGTGGTTATCCACGGGCTCTTAGGTACTTGCTCTTATGTTTTCAAAAATTTGTTTGCTTTTTAAGTGTGTGTGGGTTTTGAAAAAGTTTCGTTTGAAAAATTTCTAAGTAACTCTTGTATCAGTCCTCAAGAGTGTATGAAATGTTTGTTTGAAAACTTTTTGAAAGTGTAGGTGCGAAAAGTTGTTTTGTTTGTTTGAGAGAGCAAGTACCCAGGAGAAATCTACCTACTCTAAGGAATTAGGCTGTGTAAGAGTCCTTTAGATAGTGCTATCCCACTATTGAGAAGTAGGAAGCACCGTCGTTGGAGGTATTCAGGTCAATTCTATTGTTAGGGACATGTGTGGTCACCAAAGCAATAGTAGGACGCCTTAGCGGTAACCCTAATGTCCTAGATCCTTTTTATCCGAGGCAACCGTTTCGAGGCAACTGGATCTTTAGACAGGAGGGCGACCTCTAAAACACCCTATACTTGACGACCACGTTCGAGGCAACCAGTGAGGTGTACCCTAGGAGTGGCATGTGCATGTGTGTTGTTTTTCAGTTAAATTGTCTTTGCATGTTATTTGTGAGCTACAGATTGATTTTATTTGTCATACAAGTCTTTCATGCATTTTTTAACAGT